AACAAAAACATGACCTGAACAGAATCATGAAAATACTTTAACCTTATGTTAGATGGAGGGAAGGAACACAGATGACCCGACAAAGACTGATAGAAAACACACAGACTAATTACACACGGGAGGTGATCAGGGGAAGTGGAAATACATGAGGAAACAGCTGATACAAATAAACATAATGACACCACGGAGGAAGTAAAACAAAACACATAGAACATGGAGACACCTGACTCTTCACAATAAAACAGGAAACACTGAGAGACGTAGACATAACAACACAAGCTAGACAACATGAAACATGCAGACAAGAAATACTTGAAACTAACTCAGAAGACCTAGGTGAAACATAACTAGACAACTCAAGGCAAACTAAATAATAATCCTAGAACTTAACATTATCTTCAAAATACAACAAAGGAGATCAAAACAAACAAAGGGGGCTTGGGCTCTTCCCATACCAGCCAGTCCTTTAAACTGTGCCCCTTCTGCCCTCCTCAAGATGATGATCCAAGGGCTGCTGGGCTCCTGTTGTGCCTTATCAGGGCCTTGAGGGTATAACTTATTTTGACCCAGGGCCACAGTACAACAGAACACAGTTGGTTGTCTGTTACAGAGCTAATTTCCTAGGAAAAGTGGCCAATAATTGGAGGTGATCCAAAAGACAAATGAAATGTCAGGCAGGCCAGCTGCTGCAAAGGTGTGTGTGCATTCCACATGTGGTCTGGACACTTTCTGGACTTTATGGCAAGGGCCTTCTCTCTCAGACATCTGTGTCTCCAGTAGTTACTTTTGTAAGTAATATTTCAGCAGAGTAGGAAAAACACTTGAGAACCAAACTTCAGAGAGCAAGAATGTGTCCATATTCATAAATAATTCTTGGTGAGAGACTCAGTGGTGAGTACAAAAGCACTCTGGTTGTGTATGGCTAACTGCTTAATTACATGGTCCTGCTGGAGCAGCCAAGTCTGCTCTGTTTCCACGTGTGTCTTGTAAAGTCCCTGTTCATATGACATATTTAGGGTGGAGAAATAGTATTGACACAATACATAATGGCTGGGTACTCTGTAAAACAGGTCCTCTGAGTGGAGAGGCTGTCTCTCTAGCTCCAGGCCACCCAGAATGGCATTCTGGTAAAAGTCAAACCAAGAAGCCAGACATGGACATTGCTCACATTGCCATAGCAACAATTAATACAACGTCAACAAAGGTGGTTTGTCTGAAAGAATACGCACGTTAAGTGCTCTGTGTGGATCAGTAACTGTACATATGCAATACTCCAATACACAGTCCTGGTCCCCAAGGACCACCAGAAGGGACTGGTCCCATCCAACTACCGACTAATAACCTGCTTCAGTACCACATGGAAGCTCCTGTCAGGCATCAGAGCAGCTAACATGAACAGGGACATGGCTCAATACATGAGCAGGGCACAGAAAGGAATTGGCAAGAATACCAGAGATGCAAAACACCACCGCGACCGTTAGACTGAGCAGTCAGATGAGACTGTGAGGCTAGGCTGACCATCCTGTCCACTGCCTGGATTGATTACAAGAAGGCCTATGACTCAATGCCCCAGGATCCTTGAACACCTAGAACTATACAAGATCAACAAGACCCTAAGAGCCTTCATCAGGAACTCAATGGGGATGTGACGAACAACACTAGAGGCCAACTTCAAGCCCATAGCACAACTCGCCATCAAGTGCGGGATCTACATAGGCCTGAACCCACTCAATGAGATCATTAACAAGACTGGCTACAGATACCGACTAAAGGATGGAGCAATCGTCAGCCACCTCCTATACATGGATGACATCAATCTGTATCCCAAGAGTGAACAAAACATCGATTCACTGATCCACACCACCTGGATATACAGCAATGACATCGGAAAGTCGTTTGGACTGGAGAAGTGTAGTCGGATGATAACAAAGAGAGGGAAGGTAGTCAGAACGGAGGGGATCGCACTACCACCAAGATGCTAGCAGGCAGGTCATACATGGAACGCCATAACCAAGTGGCCAGCATAGTATACAGAAACATCTGTGACGAGTATGGCCTGGAAGCCCCAAGGTCAAAATAGTCATTCTCAGTCGAGAATGACCGAGCTAAGATCCTGTGGGACTTCCAGATACAGATGGACAAAATGATGATTGCTAATCAATCGGACATAGTAGTGGTAGATAAGCAAAAGAAGATGGCCGTATTAACTGATGTTTCTTTTAACAATTCTTTCTTTTGCCGAAAGTCTACAGAAACAAACAAACAAAACAAAAAATATCACATTGTCACATCCTTCAGGAAGCACTTTTTTAAAGAAATTATCACATTTAACACATTCACTCAATAATGTATCCTACTTTTCATATATTAGATTTTATAAAGCTACTGTAGAGCTTGTCTTTCTAGGCTCTCAGTCATCCAGGTCAAGGCAATCTAAGGAGCCTGGAAAGAAAAGTCACTGGATTTTCTCTTCTTGAAGAAAAAAAAATCTTCTGGAAATTTCTTGAAGACGTTTTGCCTCTCATCTGAGAAGATTCTTCAGTTTTAGGAGGACCGCTCCTCACCACACTGCACTGCATACATGTTGTTGTTTAGCTTGTTTTGTCCTTGGGATGAAACAGTTTTTGTCTAAGGGTGTGGCTGTGTCTGAAGTGCACTGGGATGTCATTTTGGGGGAAAACTCTTTGAGTTTCTCTGATAAAACTGCTTTAGGAACTTTCTTTACATGTATCTGTTCCTTTCCCTTCTGTTATAGATGGAACATTTTCTGCCTGGTGTTGCAGGATCCTGATTATTCCAGGTCTGTGTTCCAGAGGGTGGTGGGAGTCAAAGAATAGGAACTGGTCTGTGTGTGAATTGCTGGTAAACTTCAATGTTGAGGTTTCTATTCTCCTCAATGTGCACAGCACAGTCCAGAAATGACAAACTATTATCCTTTATATCTTCCCTGGTGAACGTTATGTTTCTAGTCACTGTTGATGTGAGCAGTGAAAGTTTCTACTTCTTGAGTTTTGATTTTGACCCAGGTGTCATTCATGTATCTGTACCAGTGGCTACGTGCTGTCCCTTTAAAAGAGCCAAGAGCCTTACTTTCCACCTGCTCCATGTAAAGTTTGGCTACAATTGGTGACACTGAGGAGTCCATTGCACATCCATGTTTTTGTCTTTAGAAACCCTTGTTGTATTAAAAATAAGCGGAAATGTGGGAGGAAGTAGTGCCAGACGGTATGTTTGCAAGATGGCAGCAGTTGATTTGGCGTTTGAAGAAAAAGTCTCCCTTCTCTATTCACTGTGGAGAGCAGAGCAGCGGCGTAAAGGACGCTTTACACATTAGTCATTACAAAAATTTATTTGAAATAATATTAAGATGCTCAAACCGAAAAACATTAAACATAAATATATATAATATAACTATTTACAGAGAGACAAAAATAAAAAGGACCCAGCTTAAAGTGGAAGAGCCTCAGGGAGAAGGAGGAGAAAAATAAAAACATTGTTTCTGCCCTGGAGAGCCCGCTGCCTCATCAGAAAACTACTGATTGCTAGAATGAATGGCTTTGGCTGGACCTGCCCCTTTGAAGGTCAGAGCATCACATCACTAGGCTCCTGATTGGTTGTCGTGGCGTGACTTGAAGCTGGAGTTCAGATTTTTCCAACTCGACCAGTAGATGTGATACGCGCTAATGCACAAAATGCACCACACAAACTGCAGCGCGTATTTTATGTTGCGCTTCAGACGCGTCAGTCGCGCTTCAAACGCGTCAGTCGCGCAACCAGGTAGCGTGAATCAGGCAGAAAAGCGTTTTCACGACACAAACCTGCTTCTGAAGTTTCGCGCGACCCCCAGTGATGCTTCATCGCGCTCCTCCATTGACTTTACATGTAAACCTGAAGCTCTGGTCACGTCTATCGCGTTGGGTTTGAACGCACCCTAACAGTGTGCAAATCTGATAAGGGGTAAAACTGGTTCTGTTTTCTAAGGAACTGTCTTCTTGTGTGTAGTAATTTTCTGGCAGTCTCTACACCCTAAGTTGTAGGTATCCAAGTGAAAAGTGAGACCACATCTAAGGACACTATGGTTTCATCTGGATCAAGTGTTTCTGGACGTTGTTGGTGAAGTTAGTGGAGTTTTTGATGTGATGGGGTGTATTCCCCACAAGGGGCGCTAGGATTGTAGTGAGGTGCTTCGAAATAAAGTTGTAGGTGGCTGAGTTACTGGAATGGTTCGCAACCGAGTCTGAAGTGGCGGGAATGAGGATCAGCACCTCCAAATCTGTGACCATAGTTCTCAGCCAGAAAAGGGTGGAGTGCCCACTCCAGGTCGGGGACTAGTTCCTGCCCCAAGTGGAGGAGTTTAAGTATCTTGGGGTCTTGTTCACGAGTGATGGGAGAAGAGAGCCAGAGATCAACAGACAGATTGGTGCTGTGGCTGCAGTGATGCGGACCCTGTACAGGTCTGTTGTGGTAAGGAGAGAGCTGAGCATAAAAGCGAAGCTCTCAATTTACCGGTCGATCTACGTCCCTACCCTCACCTATGGTACGAGCTGTGGGTAGTGACCGAAAGAACGAGATCGCGGATACAAGCAGTGGAAATGAACTTCCTTCGAAGGGTGGCTGGCCTCTCCCTTAGAGATAGGGTGAGAAGTTCGGCCATCCGGGAGGGGCTCATAGTAGAGCCGCTGCTGCTCCACATCAAAAGAAGCCAGTTGAGGTGGTTCAGGCATCTGACAAGGATGCCTCCTGGGTGCTTCCTGAGTGAGGTGTTCCCAGGAAGTCCCACCGGGAGGAGACCCAGGACACGCTGGAGAGATTATATCTTTCGGCTGGCCTGGGAACGCCTTGGTGTTCTGTGCTTAGGCTGCTGCCCCCGTGACCTGGCCCCGGATAAGCAGAAGAAGATGGATGGAAGGAAAATCTGAAAAGTGTGTGTTCATTCATGATGCTGCCATCACCATGTTTCATAGTGCTGATGGTGTGTTTAGGGTGATGAGCAATGTTACTTTTCCGCCACACGTAGTGCTTTGCATTCAGGCCCAAAAGTTCAACTCCGATCTCATCTGACCAGAGTACCTTCTTCCACATGTTTGCTGTGTCCCTACAAGGGTCCTGGCAAACTCCAAACAGGACCTTTTATGTTTTTCTGTCAACAATGGCTTTCTTCTTGCCACTCTTCTGTATAGGTCAGATTTGTGGAGTACATGACTTACATTTGTGTTGTGGACAGATTCTCCCACCTGAGCAGTGGATTTCTGCAGCTCTTCCAGAGAGACCATGGACCTCTTGGAAGCTTCTCTGACCAGAGCTCTCCTTGCTTGGTCTGTCAGTTTAGGTGGGCAGCCGTATCTTGGTAGGTTTGCAGTTGTAGCATACTTTTTCCATTTTTGAATGATAGATTGAACAGTGCTCCCTGAGATGTTCAAAGTTCTGGATATTTTTTTTATAACCCAACACTTCTTTAAACTTATCTACAACTTTATCCCTGACCTGTCTGGTAACTTCCTTCATCTTCGTGTCGCAGTTTGTTCACTAATGTTCTCTAACAAACCACTGAGGCCTTCGCAGAGCAGGTGTATTTATAATGAGACTACATTGCACACAGGTGAGCTCTATTATCTAATTGGATTACTCTTAAGGCAAGTGATTGCACTGGATTTTATTTAAGGGTATCAGAGTACACGAGGCTGAATACAAATGCATGCCACACTTTTCTGATTTTTATTTGCTTAAAATTTTGAAAACCATGTATCATTTTTGTACCACTTCACAATTATCTGCTACTTTGTGTTGGTCTATCACAGAAAATCTCAATAAAAAGCATTTAAGTTTGTGTTTGCAAGGTGACAAATATGTAAAAGTTCAAGGGTTATGAATACTTTTTCAAGGCATTATATATACAGGGTATTGTGTCCCCTGGAAACAGACAGTGGTATGAGTACAGCTACTCTATAGATTTCACTTATTTAATAATCTTTCTTCTATAGTGTCCCATCTGTATATTCCCCTGCATATTTAATGATAGTAATCCTGTTGAAAGAAACCAAAGAATGTTCTTGTTACCTCCTGCTCTGTTAGGCTGTTTCAAATTACTGTGCAGTAATCAGAATATTTAAATTCAAAATTTTACCTTCAGACTGAGTTTTAGTAGTTTCTGTTCATGCTCTGTCTCTATGCCTTTAATATGATATGCTTTCATACAGTATGTGTATCATTTGATAATTAGGGCTTTGGCAAATTCAAGGGGCAAAAAAATAAAGAAATATGCAACAATGTATGCATTCAGAAACAAAGAAAAAGCAAACAAACAAAAAGTAGGAAAGGATTTCTCACCTTCAGCATTTCCATGGAAAAGAGTACTGAGCATTAAAATAAAGATTGAATCTCATCAGACCTTATGAAACCTACAGAAAATGAAATCAGAATAAACTAAACACACCATGATCATACTGGTTAAAAACAAAATCTCCCATTCCCCACTTAAGAAAAACAGGTTAAACCAACAGAAACATCAGTCTGTAGCAATCAAACCAGTCCAGACTGCATTGAACTAACTGAATAACCCCAGCATGCAGAGCAAAGAGGTCCACTTCCTCACATTCAGCACCGTTGCTCTGCTAAATGGAACCAAGTTATTTTTCTTGGTAAAGCCTTTCTTCCCCTTTTCAGTGACATTTCTTGTTCACTGTAGACATTCACTTCTTTTTTCTACGTAGGTTTATACATTGTGCCCATGAATACAAAATGTAGCACTAGGGTTTATCTGAATTGTATTCATTTTATAGCATGACAAAAAAACGAAATGAATCGTATCATATCATGTCATTACATTATTTGCAGAATATTAAATATGTCCAATGCTTTTGCATCCACAGCATATATATGTGATTTGTGTTGACTTGCACATTTTTTTTCTTTTTCTCTAACCTTCCTAGTCACCATGTTCTCTCTTATTTATTCATTGGGTGTGTTTATTTCAACAGAAAGGTTCAGTTATAACTTCCTTTCTTTTCCACCAGCCCCAGAAAATTTACCTTCTTTTTGCATCCTTGCAATTTGCAAAACACCACCACTGTGTGTAATCTGCTTTGATGGTTTAAATGGTTTTGATGGTCCTTTTTTTGTTTTTTTAGTTTTTCTAAGATGGTGAAGTTGAATATTTTTAACTGTTTATATGCTATATTTTATATAATATATAACAAACATATATATAATATATTTGCTTTCCAGCCTGCAGCTCCATATGGTGGCACAAAAAGTCTTACCTTCCAATTAGTGTTGTACGATATAAAATGGCTGCTTAAGGTGCTTTTCTATTCTTTCTGAGCATTCAAAATGTTTTTAGGTTCACATGCGTTCACACACTGTGGTGAGGCGTGTCGTAGGTGCCGTGCGGACGCACCTGCACGGCAGATGCCTCAGTTATCAAATCTAGATGCCTCAATTCCGCTTGCTGCTCTCAGAAATGTCTGCTGAGCACCATGACCTGCTATTGCACAATGATGTCAGGCGGCTGTCCAAAGGCAGGTCACTGGATCATGTCTGTGATCTCAAAGAGATCATAACTTTTCTCTGCAACAGCAGGCAAAAAAAACCAGACTTGAATCGCATAATGGACAACAGCTTCATGGCCGGTGTCTGCTTTCTGAACGACATATTCAAACACCTGAATGACCTCAATGTGGGACTACAAGGCAGAGGCAAAACTGTCACGGAACTTGTGGAACAGATGCGTGCATTCCAAGTCAAGCTGAACCTTTTCGCAGCTGACTTGAGCACAGGCCGGTAGCTGCATTTTGTTTTAAATGACAATGAGTGCCTTTAAATAAATGTTCTCTTTTAGATTCATGCACAACACTGAACAGCTGTAACATGTACTCTCAGACAGACACACAACAACAACAACACACCTTATTTATATTGCACTTTTATTAACAATGTTACAAAGTGCTTCCCAGAAAGAAAATTATAATATATAAAAATAAAGGAAATTGTTAAAAAGATAACAATTGTGGTGATTGTGGCTCAAGAGTTGGAAGTTCGCCTTGTAATCGGAAGGTTGCTGGTTCGAGCCCCGGCTTGGACAGTCTCGGTCGTTGTGTCCTTGGGCAAGACACTTCACCCGTTGCCTACTGGTGGTGGTCAGAGGGCCCGGTGGCGCCAGTGTCTGGCAGCCTCGCCTCTGTCAGTGCGCCCCAGGGTGGCTGTGGCTACAATGTAGCTTGCCATCACCAGTGTGTGAATGGGTGGGTGACTGGATGTGTAAAGCGCTTTGGGGTCCTTAGGGAATAATAAAGCGCTATACAAATACAGGCCATTTACCATAAAAAACAGATATACAGTACATTAAAGGCCATTAAAATTATTATCTAATGGGAGAGAAACAAGCAAAACACACTGAGTGATTCTTTCTGAAGACAATATAAACTCAGACTATCAGGATCATTGCTTTGAATTCAAAATCTTCTCTTTTTCACTCAAAGTGACTTCGAGTTTTTAAGAGACTTTAAAGAGAAAAACAGCTAAAGAGCTGCTGTTAAGATTTTAGAGCTGTGGCTGAATTTGGATTAACATTATTGTAGTCAGAGCTCTCCTCTGGGTCACCACATCGCCCTGTTGAGGTGATCAAATGAAAGCATTTCAAAACAAACTCCCTCTGTTTTGTCCACAAATGCATTTATTATCAGTGAGAATAATTACCAATGTATATTTTGCATTTCAAATCTCACATTTTGTGCACTCACTTGTCTTGTTAATGACTTCGAGCTGAATCACAGATGTGACATTGGCGTAATCACCTTCTGCTGGACCTGAAATAATAATCTGATTGACTTTAATGATAAACACAGTTATTGTATAATCATCCAGCTTCCACAAGCTCTGTATTAATGAAAGTGTAAATTTTACCATTTTCAGTGTTTTCACACCTTCTGACTGTCTCATAGACACAACGACCACCTGCAGGTCAGAGAAAATCAGTCACATCATGTCTGTGATACTAATTGAAACACAAATATTCTTGCAAATAACGTTTATATTAAAAGCTGCAGCAGATGTAATAAGTACAGTCTTGTTGCAAATAGGATCAGAATATTTAAAACTACATGACAAACTAACCATGAAGAAGAGAGGAGTACACTTGCTGCTGATCTTCACCTTTATTAAAATATACAATAATACTTTTACTTTTACATGAAGCTCATGATGCATTTGTGTCTTTGAATGATAAAGAGTTTGTAGTAAGTAAAGGAAAAGTGCTCACTGTTGGTCGTTGTGCAGCGATACAACAAGAGCAGGAGAATAATAATGAGAGAGACTCCACAAACCAGTCCAACCATCAACCACACAGGAGATGAAGAGCTGTCAGCTCCTGACACAGTTACTGTAACACAAACAATAAAGCTTAATTATATTTTATATTTCATAACATCAGTTTATAAAATATCTAGTTCATCTATTTTCTTTGACTAGAAATCACTTTGAATCAGCGTCTCCTATGACTTTACTCCGCACAATGAAAACATCAACACAAGTCCAGTCTCTTAAATTTCCTCTTAAAATGTTGACTTCATTAAATCGGCTTTACAAACTTTTATTATATAAACATGTCAAACAGTCAAACAGAACTAATTGTGAATTTATGTTGATTTGGAGATTTGCTGAAAATGATTGTTTCACATTCATAATCCCACCTAGTCTCCCCTCCTTGGATCACATTCCTGACACTGATTCTCTAGACTCCACATTTTACATGACTATTCATGTTCAACCATTTCCAATAAGATCATTATTACAATGCCAAAGAGGTTACCATGAGATATGATGCTGTTTATCTTCATAGTAATCCGCAATCATCTATCTATTCAACATTGTTGCTGAATACAAACTCACCAGTTGTGTTAATGTGAACTTCTTGGCTGTCCTCTGTGTAGTAAACTGGGTTTCCTCTTCCTCCTCTGCACATGTAGAGTCCTTCCTGTGAGACATTGATTTGTCCATTTGATGGGGAGATAACATCCACTGTGGTATTATCTCTGTACCAGTAGTATTTCCATCCAGATGATGATGATGGGTTCACAGAGCAGGTC